TACTTTGGCGAATGTTCAAGTTCTTACTAGATGGGGTAGGCGGATATATATAAGAGGGGAAAACGTGACGCGGTAAGGAAGGTGATGCGTGTGGGTAGATAGTGAGTAACTGAACTGCAGTCGGAAGTATTGTTGACGTTCGTTGATTAGCGTTTGTTTTAACGCGATTGTTGAAGTTGAGTGTATCGCAGAGTTATATTCGGAAAGAATAAACCAGTTTTATTAAGTAAATACTTGTGTCGCAAGTTTCGTCGGAACGAAGTTACGGAAAGTTAATTAACAAACGGAGACGTAACAGTATGATAATTTTCTAAATAAAAGTCTGGAGCAGTGTTCAACATCTTAAACTCAATATATTTTCTTTTCATTACTATCTATGTTTTGTTTTCAATTTTCTTAAGTGATGATTATGTGGATCTACATTATTTACTAGAACTGCGAAACGGGAATATTACATCACGAACAGTTTCAGCCAAATCTTTGAACGTTCAGGAGGTTTTATTATCGATTTCCTACCGATTCACGAATAATGCATAATAAGAATGTCCTTATGTTAATAGCCTAATGAAGTGACTCAACGTTATGCGACCTCTAACCTGTATCGAAATTATAACATTAAAATAGAGTTTGTGACAATTTATAAAATAAATTTCCTACACATATTGTATACGTAGAATGTAGGTCAAGGGAACCATTGAGTTTTTCTCATCCTCATTACCTACCGAACTGCGTCATTCAATGAAACTGTAATATGCATTTTGACGTGGAAAAGATTCATGTAAAGTGGGGTGTACTATGTAGAAATAAACAGTGATCCTTTCCAGAGGATACAACTTCCATTAATTGGTGATGGGAATTGTAAATAGTTATTTGGGTAACGCCTGCGTCCCAAGAAGAATGACATTGCCATTTCATGTATATATATATTGCAATGATTTCTCAGTCAAGAACAGATATTTTAGCAATAGTAATAAATTAGATTGAAACACAGATTTAGGTACACTATAAACCTCTATAGTAAAGACGGCACAAAATACGCTTTTTTACTTTAGTTTTTGAGTGCTAATTACAGATACTTTCACTATGGTGTAAATTGAGTCCAACTTCTTTCTTTGCTTCAAATTCAGTCGAGGTCAAAGAATTCAGATTCATTCCGTAATACTTATATGTAAAAACCGTTCTCTTTTTCTGCGGCTCCTACCCAATTTTGAAAACCCCGACCTTTGGTATACTTGACCCAAGTCAATCACATCAATCAAGGTTGTTCTAACTTACTCACCAACCTTGAAATTAATGATATTACTATACCAGCAGAGCGTTAAGGAAACAACCTTTTTTTTTCTAGATTTCACAGAGTAGCTAATTTTTTTTATATTATTTTTATTTTGTTTAACATTGTTAACAGTTTTCCCAGTTCTTTTTTGTTACATGTTTATTGAGAAAACAACAACAAAAAACGTTCTTCTTAGCAGTAAATATAATTATTATAAAATGGACTGAAAATCAGCTTGATGAAAATAGTAATATCCATCAAAGTCCTTAAGAAACGAACAAACGTTAAGCTAAATAATTTAAGAAGATATATTTCATTGCAAAAATAAGTTTGCCACCTATGAGGAAAACAAATAACTTGGACAGAAGAGTAAGAAGGAAAGGTCGTTTTTTCATGGTGCTTAGGCTAAGTCGAGTACTGAAACAAGGTGTTTGGATGAATCTTTATTGATAAACATACTAATCATTATGGGCTACAGCTACTACGACACCCCAGATGGAGAGGACTGTTTCCAAAAAATGTGGTATACCACTAAATATGCCACACTAGCTGGTAATTCATTATTTTTGCTTAATTTAAATTAGTTATTATTATTAATATTAGATTTATATTAAAGCAGCAAGCTGCTACTACTACCTATGTAGATCAAAACTAAAAATCATCCTGATAATGAAATGAGCATAGCTAATTAAATATACGTTTTCTACGTTCATTCTTTTAAATATTGTGTTTATTAATTAATGCATTGTTTCATCAGTTGAGTTGAATACCCTCGATGTTAATAGAAATTTTGTCTGTGAAAGTGTAAACCCAATACTATCTCGCTAGGTGATTTAGTTTAGTCATAAATCCATGTACTAAGCTAACAGTAATACACAACTTTATACTATAGTAAAAGTATAAAAATTAAAATTAAAATAATACCATTAAATAAGTTCTCTATTATAACCAGTACTATTAGTATTAATGAAGTAATTTAAAAGAGAGGGTATATCTCACTTACTGAACACAAACTTGTTGTTAATGTTAGTTTCAAAGCTCAACTTCAAGTGTTGTTGTTGTAGATTTAAGTTTCTGAACAAAGAAACATCAGTATGATATTATTTATAAGATTTTCCACATTTTTCCCTGACAGTAGCTTAGAGGAACCTGACATCTAAAATAAATTGCTGCAAGTGTGTTTAGCTAAAATAAAGTAGGACAGCACCAGTTCAATAGTTAGCGAAAAATTAACGTTTATGAAGATACAAAAGTATAAATAATATTAATAGGAAATTAAATGAATACTTGAATCATGCAGTAGACAGGTAGAATATTGGTACTCTAATTAAGGTATAACCATATTGAATGTAAAACAGTATATTTAAAATACAGTGACTGTCTAACACAACCAAACTTTAGAGTTATTTTAAGTTTAATTTCTGTCACTTAACAAGATGCATGGAGTTAGCAACAGGGAATAATAAAGTAAAATATCTGTAACAGCTGAAAAATTAAATATGACAAGATTTGAGAAGGTTTTATAATAATAATACTTATAAAAGGAAGTCTATACTATACAATATAATCTATTGTTACAGTGATGTAACTGTTAATGTTATTCTTACAAGTCTTAGTTGTGTTATCATGTTAGTAAACATGGCCTAATAGTGCTAGGCTTCACTGAAGTGTTTACAATATACAATAAATATAAATTATTGCATAAGATGTTGGCTACTTATTAATATAAGATTTTATGAGAGATGTATAATTGAGAAAATACTGGAGCTAGCATATGATGAAGTAGAGATATATTTACATATTTAATGTGGATGGACAGAAAGGAGGAAAGCTGTTTCAACATTCTGGACAGTAATATGTTTCAATCATCAAAATATGTGATTAATTTCATATTTTGGCTGATTAAAAGCACTTTTTTTATTTGATAGTAATTGTTATAAAATGGAGTGATTACATCAAGATAAAAATAAATTTGGAAGAATGTAACAAGAAAAAGAAAATATTTGATATTTGAAAAGGAGTTCAGGCATATGCAGTATTGTATGTGTTATAGTTAGTGAATGTTGTGGAGTGGTGAAACAGGCTGTGATGGACATATTCCTACTTTAAAGTTATAGTCTATGAAAATGTTTAAAGTTTGCTGTTTGACAGCCTCTTGTCAGATTATGTGTATGGTAACTAATTACATGGATGGTTTATGAATGGATTATGGTGTGGAACATGTTATACCTATTAATCATAGCTTAGGAATGGTGTGAAACATTCTTTATTTAAGGGTGTACAGATATTGAAATATTATTATGAATATATATTTCTGTAAACATAAGGGGACATATCAGTTTTATACCGAGTCAGTGGATCCGTCAAGTGATAAAGTTCATTTGACTCATTAGACTATAAGTTGTGTACATTACCGTCTAACTGTATATGTGTGTGATAAGCTTCATCCAAGTAAGTTGAGAAATGTATAGTACTTGAGGAATTGTTAAACTATATTAGGGGTATTTAAGTATGTTTGAATACAGTTAAGGAAAGCACTTTTTCTTGGAAGATCATGTACCGACTTTAGGGGATGTGAAACATCAGTTAGTTATATTTACAGAAAGTTTGGAAATAAACTATTAAATTATTGTTTTTCTTTCAATAAAGTACAAAATCTTGCTAATACAAAAAGTATAGTATTTGACCTGTAGTTTCTTAGATATTTTCTTGACATTTTGAGAACTAGGAATCATATTAGTCATATACTGCTTGGAGATGGCTTGAATGAGTAATGAACAAAAACTTTAATACTTTAATTCAAGCCATCTCCAAGCATTATTAGTCTCAAAGTGGGTTCCTTGTCATCGAAATATTAGTCATATGTTGGTCATCATGCATCTTCCCCTTTTATTCTGAAAGATAAGGATTAAATCCATCTTAATTTTCTTATTCAGGTTATTTTTCAATGTAAAGTATTCCGTTCAGAATAAGTTCAAACAGATGTGTGTGTGTATATGCATAAGAATGCTTATGGAAGAATGTTATGAAGATTTAAGAGAATAGTCCCAGACTACTTATGAGTCATGAAACCAGTCTGATTTTATAAGAATAAAAATTTTTACTAATTAAAATGTGCAGGGGTCTTTGACATGCTGTTATTTTTATATAATGAATTATCTGCTTTGAAATAAAACATTCAGCATTACATTTTCAGAATCACTACAAATAAAACTAAATCCATAATTTCTTATTGTACATAGTTATAAAAATATGTGTTTAAAGTAGGTTACCTTTGGTTAGTCATAATCTTAAGATAAAATAATGAAAAATTAAATAGTAGATCTCAAACAAATCTTTATACATTTAAAGTTGTTTGTGTGTGTTAGAATAACAATCAGTGCATATAGACCAAAATAAAAACAGTTTGGTAGCAATAGTTCTATCAAAGTTAGAGTTTTCCAAAGTGTGGGTCTTGATCCCAGTGGGGTCACAAGCACTATAGAAAATTTTATTTCTCTGTAAGATATACAGAAAACAAGCAATATTATATATTTTATTACATTTTATCTATTAAAAATTATATTAATAAAATAACTCTATAAAGCATCATATTTTGATATCTTTGCAAATTGGGATTTTTTTTACTAGTGCAGAAAACATAAAGGAGCATAATTGACTGAAAGATGTGAAAGCCAATTTATGACTAACAACCATGCTTGGAGATGCTATGCTTGCTAAAACAAACACATAGTTTGCACTGAATGTGTTAAGTCACAGTTATCCTTTTGCATCTTTCAGCTGATGTAACATAATTTTTATAATTTGGTAATCCAATGTGTTATTGTATTCCCATCCATTCACTTATGAAAACTTTAATAAAGCATTATTGTTATTTTTTTAATGTAGGTGTTACGTCTCTGTATGTTTGTTAGTTAATTTTTCTACAATACAAGTCCTTTCTTAAATAAAACATGTTTATTCTTCCTCAATACAACTTTGCAATACACTTAATTTTCACAGTTACTCACACTATAGTTCACAACAATTCACTCACTTTCTACTGCGCTTGACTCAATTGTCCGTCTCTATCTCCGCCTGTCAGCAACTATAATTCCGATCTCTGTATTTGCTATCCTCGGTTCCCGCCGACTGTAACTGCTGTCCTTGGTTCCCCACTCTCTCTCTTTCTTCTTCTCCATCTCTCTCTGTCTAGCGCACTTATATACAATAATACCGCCTCTTCTAGAATCTTCTAGGCTCTCAACACGTGCTACCAGCGTCACTTGACTTTCGCTGTCGTTACACACTAACGTTTATCTCAAATCTTCTAGATACCTATTACGTGTTACCAACGCCACGTGACCCCTGCTGTTGTAACATAGGGTTACTGTGAAGGTGGTATTTCTAAGGCAAAGGGTTACACCATGAAAAAAGTTTGGGAACCATTAATCTAAGCAGGGATAAATTTTTGTTTTAAAAGTAATTCAATTTACAACTTACAAGTTAAAGATTTTTGTGATAAAAAAACATGCATTTTATTTTACAGCACTTGGAATCTCAGCTTATGATATCGCCTTAGTGAGTCATCCTCAGGGATATTTACAAGCACTTGGTAGGATAAACTATTGGGTAGCTCCATTTGGTAAGTTACTTCTGCAATGTGATGACTATGTATCAGTGTAGTTTTACTTGCATTTTGACTAAAGTAATATCAAATCACTAAACTTAAGTGCAGCAGTTGAGTAAAGGATAAATAATGCTGGAGCACTTTTCAAAGAGTAATATTTCCTTCATTAAAAGAATATTTGCTCCTATTGAAAATAATTATATGACTTATTTTATTGCTGTAGTATTGATTGATTGTCCAGTTAGTTTAGTTGTAAATTATTAGAAACTGTGTATAATATCTTACAATACTACTCTTCACTATATCTCATAATGCTTATTTTATCTTAATCTATACTACTATCTTCTAGTAGATACTTATAAAGTTTCTGTGTGCTTTTTAGAAGTAAATTAGTACTTGTATAGCATGCAATAAGAATTACATAATAATATATATGTTATGTGTATTTTAATGTTAAAGAAACAAAAAAAAAACTTTGTTACTTTGTTGAACTTGCAAATGAACTTCTGTAAACAAATTTGATAATTCCTTTTATGGGTACATTGTAGCCATAAAGTAGTAAAAATTTTATTAATGCACAAAAGAAATAAGATGGTTCTCTTAACTGTGACAATAATTTGACTCTGTTCCACTCTCCTCTGGTTAAATTCTATAAGTAGGTAGAAAATTAAATAATACCACAAAGAAATGAGGTACAACTAACAACTACTTAAATAGGAAACTGGAAAATAAATGATACGAAAACTAAAATTTCGAGGAAGAAGTACTAAATAAAATATCCAAACATGAGTACTGCCAAACGAGATATGATAGTTAGTTAGAATAGCATAGAGGGAGTCAGATGTGTGGGGGGTGTGTATATTGGCAGAGGTTTGTTGCATGACAATTTGCATGTGTGAATCTGTTAAATCATTTGAACCAGGGGGTACGTGAAAGTGAAAGGATTGTGGCGTGCGAAAAAATTTGCAAATAGAGGGCAGCACTGAAAATAGCTATATATGTGAGTGGAAGTAAGTACCTGTTGGAAATATATTTTCAGTGTTGGAAAATTGTAACTTTGGCCACATAGATGGGGATTTGATGGAGTCGAGTAGTGGGGGAGAAGAGAGAGTCTTCTTTAAGTTATTCAAGATGGTTTTCTACACCTATGTCATTGAGGGATAATAAGGAAGATCAATCCTAATTGGATTACTAAAAATGACAAGGACACAATCAAGGGTAAATGCCATAAGTTAAAGAGGTTTAATTTGACAGGTAGGAGGGAAAATTTACAGAAATATAGGAAAACTATGGATTTAGTTTTTTTAAAAAATTAGGAAATCTAAAAGGCTTTCTTTAATTGTGTTAAAGATAACTAAAGTTTAAAATGTGGATTAGGCTTTTAAACAGGATTTTACTCATACAAAATATCTGATATGTCATGCAAATCATAAAGATGTATGTAGTTGTAGAAGTCTATGCATTTAATGTACAAAAATTTTAATTTTATTATAGTTAATTTTGTGTGTTTAGTATTTGCTAAACCAGATTAAGCTTGCCTTATCTTTTGTTGCAGAGGAAAACTTCTGTAGCTCTCAGACAGATTTATTATGAAAACATTTTCAGGAACAAATAAAATATTTAAAGAAACAATAAAAAAATTCTGAGAGTTGTGGTTTATTAATGGGTTTTTTAAACTTCCCTTGAGATTCTTCCTTTGTTTATCATTGCAAGAGCTTCCACAAATTGTAAATTAACTGCTCAAACTACTTTTTATTTTACATGAACATAATAATCTGCTTTATCAAGCTATATTTAAATATTTCTTATAATTATTTTCAAAGTTGTGCATCATTAATAATCATTCAGACCACATTAAAATTTGTATATGCTAAATGCGTAGACCTTTTGCAACTGCATAAACTTTTTTGTTTTGTTTTTTTGCAGGAAATTTACTGATTTTTACCATAACATTCTAATTGTTTCAACTTCTCATTATTACCAGTGTTTGGTTCCGTGAGAATTGATGACCTTTGCAAATGACCTTGATTACTGAATTATTTAGGTGTTTATGTGGCATATCTTAGTTTTCTTTGACATTTCATGTATTTTTTTAGTGACAGCCACCAGGAATCCTTTGTAAGATATCTCACAACTTCAAATTATATAAACACCATCATAACTACATTTTAGTACATTTACATATGTTCTTAGGTCCAATATTTGCTAAATTTAATAAGGTGACTCAATTTATACTTCTTAGACTACTTTTACTTTAGCTTCTTGATCTTTCCTTTGGGAAGCATAGTGCCTGGGTCTTATTTCTTGGTTTACTCCAAAGCCAGATGGTTGGATATGTCACTGGTATATCTCTAATATTGGAAAAAAGATTTAGAAGCACCATTTACTTTTAAATGTGTGACTCTGATATTTTGTGAAAGTGTTAGCTGGTCTCATGGAATTTTGAGTTCCACATCATTACTTAGAATATCTATTTTCAAAGACTAGTGTTTCTTTGCCCCTTATGGTGTCAGGCATCTCTGCGCTATCTACTGTCCCATTTCCACTTTATTAAGAAGATATTTAGTCAAGAGTTATCATAAAGGTAAAGTATCATATTCTAAACTTGCATATCAGCATTATAGTTCAAAGACAAAAATTTTGATTTCTCATTGCAACACTAGTGGATTGTAGAACATAATGTGACTGTATGTGGTTAAATGTGTAATGAAAAAGTCAGATAGTGTTATACTACATTAATGAAACTGATTTCTGTAAAAAGTTTATCAGTAGTGGCTAAAAATATGCTAATTGCCAAATCATAATGAAAAAAAAGAGGAAGTGTAGTGAAGAACAAAATGTCTAATTCTTGGTATTGTAAAGAGAATTAGCTAAGAGCTTTTCTATAAATTTTACAAACATTTAAGTTTTAAACTAATCAATTAAATATGATTAAATCTCTCACTCTGAAAAAATTCTTTTTTCTGGTTCATGTGAAATTGTTAGTTAGTTTTATTTGTGGCTTAACTCTTTTTTTTATTCTGTTGATGTCCACATTCTTTTGTCATTGATGTTTAGTAATGAAGAATATGAAATAAACACTACTATGTACGTATTCTTGTTAACAAGAAAGATTTTAACAACGTGGCAGGGGGCTTCTAAGTATTTAAAACTTAGCCAGACTAGTACTTTGGGTTTGTAAGTCTAAGAGCTTTATTACACACAAGAAGTGTACTGTAACCTCCTTTCTGTGATAATGTACATGCACACACATATATTACGTAAATTATTGAAGCTTATTATACTTTTGTGTAGTTTGAAGTAAGGTTTAATGTCTTTGACATCATCACATTTTTGATGTCAATGAAACTATGTAATCTAATGTTTTTCTCAGAAGATGGATCATATTTTTGGTTTGATTTAAGTGGAAATGACATCAGAAAAATGAATGTGAATTTTATAGAGAGGTGTGCTGCCATTGTGGTGTCAGAATAAAAATCCATGAAACACTTTTTGTGTTTACTGATAAACAAGACTTTTTTTTTTAAAGAATAGACAAGTTGAACCTGCGATAGTTGTAAAATAAATTGGTTTTATTCACTTTATTTTGGGAGTGGAGTTAGGTACAATAAACATTTCTGATGCTGATTATGTACCTCAGAGTAAAATGTCAAGAAAAAGAATAAACAGTTCTGATTACCAATCACAAGCAGGAAAAAATATGCAACAAAAGCAACAGTGAGACTCTAGAAGAAAGGAAAATGTGTTTTAACAGCCAATAAAAAAGACAAGCTACTCGTCATCAAGCCGAGACTGAGCAAGAGTGGCAATTTCACAGAGACAGTGACCGCATCCTCCACGCAGAGTGCTGTTCACTAGAAATATTAATAAAAACAAGACCTTCATTGGCGAGGAAATAGAGAAAGATATTCTAATCAGGGTCTGAACTGCAAAAAAGCTGACTTCAACTACAATAAATCTATAATTTAATTTTTACTTTTTAATTTTTATGCTCTTAAGCCATTTATCTCACAGAAAATATGATCATTTGACATGTATCATAATATGAAAAGCAACATTTTGATCTTTTCTGTTTAAAAATAGTTAAACATATTGGCCCTCTGTTCAGGATGGCTAGAACTTAGATATAAATTGATCTCAATCAAGAATACTGTTAGCAAAAGTTACAACATCTAGTCTGACAAAGATAAAGGTGACTCCATTTTTGAAATGTCAACAATTGGTCTATGTCAGTTTGAACTTGTTCTTAAAAATAGTAGCAATTCACCAACAAATTTTGATACAATGTGTCAGATCGCAATATTTTGCTGCTTTTGTTTCAACATTTTTCCAAGACCTCAAATTTCCCTAGAATAGAGTTGCACCTTTGGTATTTAATTTTTCTTTAGGGTTAGTTTCATTTTGATCTTATTGGTTATAATGTTTAAAATGTTTTTGAATAGTTCTTATTAATTAATATTATGCTTAGGAGGATTATCTTGCATTGTTGGCTAACTGTTTGGATTTAAGACTAATCTGGATCTCCTAGGCTAGCCACACCTCATGAGATATTATTGAGATTACAGGTCATAAGTATCATAAGCAGTAAGGTCTCCAACTGATGATTTAATTCATTTTAATCCTTGTAAGTTTTAGTTTTATAACTTATGACACAAGCATTTTTAAATTATTTGTCAAACAAGATTTCTTTGTTAATTTGCAAGTTACTTTGAAAATTATTTTAGTCCTGATCTACTTATAATTAGCTTACTAGTGGTGAATATATGTTTATTTGTTGTTTTCTGGTCATTATTTTGTTTAAAAATAATGACTTTTTAACTCAATGATACATTTGTATTGTATCATTCACAGTTCCTTTTTATAACAACTTTTTTCTGTGATGATCTTCAAATGAATCCATATGTTTCATTTTGTTTACATGTAATAGTATATTTTTTCCTTTTGTTTTTGTCATATTTTATAAGCTTTATAATTAGATGTATAGATGTGTTAACAAATACATTTTGGTATGTAGCAACTATGGGAGCTGTGTTTAGTGCTACTACATGTGTTGCAACAAACTTGAGAAAGAAAGATGATCCACTAAACTATTTCATTGGAGGATGTGCAGCTGGCAGCATCATGGGAGCCAAATGTAAGTAGTGGGCTTTTTGTGTCTTGTTGATTCATATTCAGAAAAATGTTTGTTTTAGGTTTTTAAAATTGTAGTCTTTTTTTTTTAATTTATAAATGTTAAAAATTGGCATTGATTTACTTTACCCTTTTTAATTATATGAATCAGTGATTAAATTTCTTCATTGACTTTTAACTGTTGGACCTAAAGGGGTTGGGTACAATTTTAAACCATGATATGAGGTACACAGAGCAATAGTTTTGGATGGAACACTTCACTTATAATATTGGTCTGAAAGACAGATTTTGACAGTCATAGTGCATAATAACTTTTGTTAGTTCTGTGTTCTTATACAAGAGTTTGGTAATGAGGTCTTCAAGAATAAGGTGTCTTCTTACTGTACTGTTTGATATGGCACAGTGTGTGTGCCATGAAAAAAAAGGATCTATCCCTGGGCACCCACAAATATTTTCAAGGGGGGCAAAAAATGTATTGTAGGAGATCAGCTTTAACAGTGTAAGTCAACAGACTAAAATAATATGTGTGATTAAATGCAAACACAAATATAGAGTTTTAATAAAAATTTAAAAAATAATTAGTTTAATTATGATGTTAAATTTATTTCATAATACGTGCAATTTTTTTGTAAAATGTAAGGGGGGGGGGGAATGCTGGCTCTTGACCCTTCCTGCGGGCACCCATGGATATATCTCCACTACAGAAAAAGTATTTGAATTCATAGACATGTTTAGTCAATCATGTAATGTTATTTTTGTTTAGCTTTGAGTTTGAGATCAGAGTGTTTAATATATTGATGTTTTCATACTGTTTCTGATCATATGGTGTGTTTCATCTAATTATTTATTGTGAAGTAAATACGTTAATTTTTAAATACCTTAATTACAGTTTGGCTCTTATCTTTATTAAATGTGTACTTGCTTTAATAAAAAACAAATAAGTTTGAAGGTTTTCTAACATGCAAAGGAAGAAAGTGTATATTATTTTATTTATACATAATTTTCCTCATTCAAATTTACATTTGCTGTTATGTTAAACTTATATTAAAGTTTTTCTTCATTACCCATTCAAGCCGTCTCCAGCCATTATTAAACTTACAGGTGTATGGTATTATTGCGACAGCAGAAGCTGCGTGACGCTGGGAGCATGCGCGCTGCAGTTTCTTGAAGGATCATGAATTTGCCCGGCAACTCTAGTCTGATCGAGGTGCCCTCTTTTTTTTAATATATAAGCCTGGCGAGAAAAATCAGCAGCATTGCAGAGATAGATAATTGAGTCAAGCAAACAGTACGCACCGTAAGTAAAGTGTGTGAATCGCTGCGAATTATAGCGTGTGTTATAAAGGTTGTTAAGTTTAAAGTGACTCTGGAAATTCTGTGTATTACTAAAATTTGTATCGAGAAAGAATAAACTAGTTTAATCAAGAAAGGACTTGTATCACTGAAGTTTCTAGGAAAGAATTTCTACGGGAAATTAACAAACAAGCAGATACGTAACAAATTGGTGTCAGAGAGTGGGATAAAGAAAAAAAGAGAGATGGAAACAAGAAATGGCAAATCAAACCATGACTTAGCAGATTTGATGGCAGCAATATAAGAACAGCAAAAGAAACAAGAAGAACGAGAAAATAAACAAAAAGAGAGACTACAGCAGTGGTTGGAGTAGAAAGAAAATGAACAAGAAGAGAGACTACAACAGTGGCAAGAAAAACAGCACCAGTGGCGACTGTAACAAGAAAGGAAACAAGATGTACAAATGGA